GTAAGGGGTTTAAATGACTACTATAAACGTACAATTTTATATGATTGGCTCCAAGATGTTGATATTGATATTGTTAAAAATCTACTTCAAGAAACTCATTTTGTTGAATCAAAAGAATATGTTTATATTGCTAGAAGGCGTGGGCATAGTTTTCATTGTTTTTTAAATTCTTCTTCTAGTCGAGGAGTTTCTATATATTCTCATTAGAAATAGTTTTCCATTTGAATTTATTAATTGTCATAAATCAGCTGATGGTCGCAAGATTACACTTAATATTAGAATTAATGACGAATTATATTGTTTTGTGAATCTTTATGCCCAAAATAGAGTGCTAGATAGAAAGAGATTCTATATAACAAAAAAATCGTGGGTAAGGAAATTTGCTCTCAATACGGATAATTTATTTATTGGCGGAGATTTCAATTGTAAACTAGATGGAAAAAAGCAATGTTTTGACACGAGTATAAATAAACTTTCCTCTTTAATTAAACAATTACACTTGATTGACACATGGAGAAATCTAAATGAAAATAAACCAGGATCCATATGGTGCAATGCACAAAATGTGCCTACATGTAGAAGTCGAATAGATTATATTTTAATTTCAGATAACTTTCTTCTCTCAATTGATTCAATGACTCTCACAAATTGTCCACAAGTATAACAAAATAGAATGAATGATCATCTTGGACTAACATTAGATTTCATTTTAAATATAGATAAAAGGAGGTCAGGATATTGGAAAATGAACAAAAGAATTCTCAATAGATTTTTCTAAACAAAAAAAGCAGCTGCCTGAAATGCAAAGTTAAAACTTTAGAAAAAAAAAAAGACATTGAAAATAGACCTTCTCATGAAATAAATAACAAAGAAAAACAGAAGCTTGAAATGGAATTAAACGAAATTTATGAGAAAAAATCAAAAGGTGCATATATCAGATCGAAAGCGAACTGGATAAATATGGAGAAAAAAGCACATCGTACTTCTTGAATTTAGAACGAAAACGCCAGCAAAATAATATTATAGAAAAAATAACTGAAAGTGAAAATTCTGTGTATAATAGTAATTACTATTTTAAAAGCTATATTTCCGAAACTGAAGTTTCCTCAAAATTAAAAGATTATGAAAAAAATTATTGTGATAATATACACACAATGAAGGAATGTGAAGAAGCTATCAAAAATATGAAAAATAATAAATCCCTGGGGTTAGACGGGATACCTGTGGAGTTTTATAAACTCTTCTGGAACGACATAAAAACGTACTTCTATGATGCATTACTAAAGTCATTTGAAGCTGAAGAGCTAACAGCGACACAAAAGTTGTCAATAATTAGTCTTATACACAAATAAATAAATACAAATATTTTATTGGCACAAACACAATTACAGTAATTGGTAAAGGCCCATACAGAACACATTAATAAGTATAATAATACAGTAGAACACAACTAGAATACAAACAATTGGTGTAGCAAATAATGTAGTGTACTCATCAGATACTAGGTGATTCATAACAATGTAGTTACTCATTTATAGCTAGAACATTTTTTCTAATATCGGATATTTGACTTATGTGCACTTAACCTAATTTTTGCTAAAAATGATCTATCATGCAGTGACTCTAGTTTATCAACATAATGTGCACGTTTATTATTAAAACAGAAGTTTCGATAGAATGATAGTTTTGAGGAGTTCATAATACTTGCATTTTGTTCTTGTAATATTTGATCATGAATACGTTGCTTAACAATGCTAAGCACTGGTTTCAATGACATATTAAAATTTGTTAAATAAGAAAACCCTAAGTTATTAAGACAAGTCCTTAAACACATAGACCATGTGTTATTTTCTTTAGTTTTGAAAAAAAATATCATGTGCCAATGTATGTTCAAATGAAATAAAATGATCAAGGTATTTGATAGCAAACATAATAATTTTTGATCTGACTGGGAGTCTTCCGAGTTCAGAATAGCAAACATTATTTGAAGTTTTGCAATGAACTCCTAAAATTTCTTTCAAAAATTTAATATGAAACTTTTCATAAGATGCCGAGCCTGAATTTTTTATGACCGACTCAATACCCCAAACTTCGCTTCCGTATAGCAAAATGGGAATTACCATGGTATCAAACAATTTTTCAAGTAATCGACAGGAATTATGTATTCCAAGGGTTTTCTTTATCTTGAATAATGCTTTTCTGGCTTTATCTACCAACTGAGCTGCAGCAAGGTTAAATTTGCCATTACATTTAAGATTTATACCAAGATAGCAATATTTGTCAACAGTTTCAATACAGATACCATTTATAGTAAAATGGTTTTAAAAAGTTTTACCATTAGAATTAAATACTATAATTTTTGATTTGGACGTGTTAATCTGTAGCTTCCAATTAACACAATAAACGCGATAAATCTAATGTTAAAAACTACAGACCTATTAGTCTCACTAATTGCGACTACAAAATTTTAGCATTTGTTTTAGCCAAACGACCACAAAAAATTATTTCAAAAGTTATTAACAACGACAAATCCGCATATATAAAAGGTAGATATATTGGATGTAATGCCAGATTGATTCAGGATATTTTTGATTATTGTGAAGACCAAAACGAAAATGGAATTCTTCTATTTCTGGACTTTTAAAAGGCGTTTGATACTGTAGAATGGTCCTTTATGTTTGAGACATTGAAAGCTCTAAATTTTGGACCAAATTTTATCAAATGGATTAAAACACTGTATAACAATCCAAAATTCAGAGTTAAAAATAACGGTTTTATATCCAGAACATGTAACATGACTAGAGGTATACGACAAGGCTGTCCAATATCCGCTTTATTACATGTATTTATAATAACAGTTGAAATACTAGCTATACGTATTTAGTCCTCGGAAGATATACACGCCTGACGGTTTCAAAATTAGCAATAACAATGAGATCAAAATGTTACAACATGCAGACGATTCAACGAATCCACTTCAAGACATGGAATCTGTAAAACATGTTGTTCAAGTAATAAATAAATTTTCAAAAGTAGCTGGGCCAAATCTGAACATAGATTAATCGGAATGTATGTTACTAGGGCCCTTAAAAAAATCATATAACGATTAGAGAATATAAAGGTAACCGGTGAACCAGTAAAAACTTTAGGTATATACATAGGACACAACAAAGAAATATGTTTAGAAAAAAATTGGCAAGATAAAATTGATAAAATTTCTAAAACATTAGATTCATGGGAAAAGAGAAAGTTGACAATTTTTGGGAAAAAAGAAATAGTTAGCACATTATGTATTTAAAAACTACAATATAATGCAACTATTCTGCCTAATCCACCTGAAAAAAAAAATTAAACAAATAAGTAGATTAATTTTTAACTTTGTTTGGAAGTAAAGACCGTATAAAAAGAAACATACTTATAGGAAAGGAAAAAAAGGCGGAATTGACATTATTTATGTTGAATCTAAATTTCAGGCATCCAAAGCATCTTGGATTTCAAAATTACTAAATACAAAATCTAGTCTTGCATCTTTTTTAAATCATATATTTTATAATGAGGCATTATCACTAGAATACATTTTAAAAACTAATCTAACACATGTAGATGACTATAAAGAACTAAAATATCTCCCTTAATTCTACAAAGAATCAATTTGTGCATTCAATGCATGTAAAATTACAAAAGATTTACCAAATATATCCTCTGACGAGTTTTTATCTTTGCCAGCATGAAAAAATAAACTCTTCACGTATAAAAATAAACCTATTTATTTTGAAAATTGGATTAAAGCGGGAATTCTGTACACAAAAGACTTGTATGATGTAAATGGCTCATTCTATGATATAAGACACTTCTGTGATAAGGTTTTATACAAAAACAAAATCTTATGTGAATACTTTATCCTGAAGACAATATTTAACAAACTTTCAAATATACATGTATATATGTGAAAAGCGCCATATATCAATATAAGAAATAACATGTATATACTCTTAAAAGGAAATAGATATGTTCTTGTAAGTAATGTAAAATCATCTGTCTTCTATAACATATTCATTGAGAAAAAATTCTTACGACCATTAACAGAAAATTATTGGAGTGAATTGTTTAGTATTCCCAAATATTTATGGGCTTCTATCTACTGTATGAAAATTTCAAGAATGTCTGATAAACACATAGCAGAATTCAACTTTAAGTTATTGCATAATTTATTAAACAATAATTTGAGTGTGAGCAAATGGAATCCTAATGTACAAAAATTTTGTGATAATTGTGGAGAAATAAAAAAAATTATGCATCTTTTATATAACTGTAACGACTCAAATTGTATATGGATTAAGTTAAGTTTAATTGTCGGGTTTAAGATTAGTTGGAAACATGTTGTAATACTAGGCTTTTATGAAAACTCAGATTTGTTATGGGCATGAAAATATTACTTTCTTTCTTTGCACTGAAAATTTTCAAATACAAGATGAAGTGTAGACTTACGAATTCACACTGTACCAGAGATTCTTTGTATAATTTTGTTAAATCTGCATTAAATACATATCAATATATTTCAGAATTTTCTTATGATAAAGTACAAATTCAAAAAGTGTTTAAAAAAGTTTGTAGAAGTTATTGATATTTTCTTATTGTTTAAATCATTAAAATACATGTTTTTTTTTTCTTCAACTGTAATCTTTAGTCAAAATTGTCATATTATATACTGTTTACATGTTATGTATATTATTGTTTGTTTGCAATTAATAAAGAAAAAAAAACAAGTAATCGATGAAGGTAAACAAAAATATTTGTATCTTATATTTGACAAAATCTAAAGGGCATCTTGGCGTCAATTAGATGAAAATACTAGATTTGCCCGACATCTTACTTCTGAGAATCATATTAATTAGTTGTTCTTACAAGTACCTACGCAAGAGTGTGTTTATAAGTGCCTCTTTTAAAGAGAAAGCCCTTCTTGTACGCTTTAAAGCCGTGCATTACAAATCAAAAACAACATGGGCTGTTTTGAGGACCTAAGGAGAAGGAAACCCTGTCAATTGAATACCAAACACTGGGTTTTTATTTCAATAACTGGATTTCTTGTAGTTTTGGGACTAGGAATTCTTATATCATCTGTTTCTTATCTTCACAAATATGACAAAGACTGTGATAATTCGTCTCCGGAAATACCGAAGGAGTCCGTTCCAGAAGCCCTAACATCGCAGGTCATGGTGACTGAGAGAATGAGTATGTTCTTCACACATGAGGTTTTTAAATAATTTTTGCTGGTCTCATACTTATTTACTTACAAATAACACCATTTCATTTTATTCATTAGCTGTATGAGAAATATAATTTAACTATTATAAATGGTTTCACATGTACAAATGATGAATTATTTTCATAAATGCTATTATATAGACACTCCTGCTTCCTGAGATATCCCCACTCCAACCTTTCTACATTATTTTGTAGTTTATACTATCTGTACTAGTAAGTATTATATTTAGTTACTGTTTTAGAGTAAGTACTATATGTAGTTACTGTTTTAGAGTCTATACTATTTGTACCAGTAAGTACTATATGTAGTAACTGATTTAGAGTCTACACTATCTGTACTAGTAAGTACTATATTGAGTTACTGTTTTAGATTCTACACTATCTGTACCAGTAAGTACTATATGTAGTTACTGATTTAGAGTCTACACTATCTGTACCAGTAAGTACTATATGTAGTAACTGATTTAGAGTCTACACTATCTGTACCAGTAAGTACTATATATAGTAACTGATTTAGAGTCTACACTATCTGTACTAGTAAGTACTATATGTAGTTACTGTTTTAGAGTCTATACTATCTGTATTAGTAAGTACTATATTGAGTTACTGATTTAGAGTCTATACTATCTGTACTAGTAAGTACTATATTTAGTTACTGTTTTAGAGTCTATACTATCTGTACCAGTAAGTACTATATGTAGTTACTGTTTTAGAGTCTACACTATCTGTACTAGTAAGTACTACATTGAGTTACTGTTTTAGAGTCTACACTATCTGTACTAGTAAGTACTATATTTAGTTACTGTTTTAGAGTCTACACTATCTGTACTAGTAAGTACTACATTGAGTTACTGTTTTAGAGTCTACACTATCTGTACTACTAAGTTCTATATGTAGTTACTGTTTTAGAGTCTACACTATCTGTACTAGTAAGTTCTATATGTAGTTACTGTTTTAGAGTCTACACTATCTGTATTAGTAAGTACTACATTGAGTTACTGTTTTAGGGTCTATACTATCTGTACTAGTAAGTACTACATTGAGTTACTGTTTTAGAGTCTACACTATCTGTATTAGTAAGTACTATATTTAGTTACTGTTTTAGAGTCTACACTATCTGTACCAGTAAGTACTACATTGAGTTACTGTTTTAGAGTCTACACTATCTGTACTAGTAAGTACTACATTGAGTTACTGTTTTAGGGTCTATACTATCTGTACTAGTAAGTTCTATATGTAGTTACTGTTTTAGAGTCTACACTATCTGTATTAGTAAGTACTATATTTAGTTACTGTTTTAGAGTCTGCACTATCTGTACTAGTAAGTACAATATTTAGTTACTGTTTTAGAGTCTACACTATCTGTATTAGTAAGTACTACATTGAGTTACTGTTTTAGGGTCTACACTATCTGTACTAGTAAGTACTACATTGAGTTACTGTTTTAGAGTCTACACTATCTGTATTAGTAAGTACTACATTGAGTTACTGTTTTAGAGTCTACACTATCTGTATTAGTAAGTACTACATTGAGTTACTGTTTTAGAGTCTACACTATCTGTACTACTAAGTTCTATATGTAGTTACTGTTTTAGGGTCTATACTATCTGTACTAGTAAGTACTATATGTATTTACTGTTTTAGAGTCTACACTATCTGTACAAGTAAGTTCTACATTGAGTTACTGTTTTAGAGTCTACACTATCTGTACTAGTAAGTACTACATTGAGTTACTGTTTTAGAGTCTACACTATCTGTACCAGTAAGTACTATATGTATATACTGTTTTAGAGTCTACACTATCTGTACTAGTAAGTACTATATGTAGTTACTGTTTTAGAGTCTACACTATCTGTACTAGTAAGTACTATATGTAGTTACTGTTTTAGAGTCTACACTATCTGTACTAGTAAGTACTACATTGAGTTACTGTTTTAGAGTCTACACTATCTGTACTAGTAAGTACTATATGTAGTTACTGTTTTAGAGTCTACACTATCTGTACTAGTAAGTACTAGAGTCTACACTATCTGTATTAGTAAGTACTACATTGAGTTACTGTTTTAGAGTCTACACTATCTGTATTAGTAAGTACTACATTGAGTTACTGTTTTAGAGTCTACACTATCTGTACTAGTAAGTACTAGAGTCTACACTATCTGTATTAATAAGTACTACATTGAGTTACTGTTTTAGAGTCTACACTATCTGTACTACTAAGTTCTATATTGAGTTACTGTTTTAGGGTCTATACTATCTGTACTAGTAAGTACTATATGTAGTTACTGTTTTAGAGTCTACACTATCTGTATTAGTAAGTACTACATTGAGTTACTGTTTTAGAGTCTACACTATCTGTACTAGTAAGTACTACATTGAGTTACTGTTTTAGAGTCTACACTATCTGTATTAGTAAGTACTACATTGAGTTACTGTTTTAGAGTCTACACTATCTGTACTAGTAAGTTCTATATGTAGTTACTGTTTTAGAGTCTACACTATCTGTATTAGTAAGTACTACATTGAGTTACTGTTTTAGGGTCTATACTATCTGTACTAGTAAGTACTACATTGAGTTACTGTTTTAGAGTCTACACTATCTGTATTAGTAAGTACTACATTGAGTTACTGTTTTAGAGTCTACACTATCTGTATTAGTAAGTACTACATTGAGTTACTGTTTTAGAGTCTACACTATCTGTATTAGTAAGTACTACATTGAGTTACTGTTTTAGAGTCTACACTATCTGTACTACTAAGTTCTATATGTAGTTACTGTTTTAGGGTCTATACTATCTGTACTAATAAGTACTATATGTATTTACTGTTTTAGAGTCTACACTATCTGTACAAGTAAGTTCTACATTGAGTTACTGCTTTAGAGTCTATACTATCTGTACTAGTAAGTACTACATTGAGTTACTGTTTTAGAGTCTACACTATCTGTATTAGTAAGTACTATATTGAGTTACTGTTTTAGAGTCTACACTATCTGTACTAGTAAGTACTAGAGTCTACACTATCTGTATTAGTAAGTACTACATTGAGTTACTGTTTTAGAGTCTACACTATCTGTATTAGTAAGTACTATATGTAGTTACTGTTTTAGAGTCTACACTATCTGTACTAGTAAGTACTAGAGTCTACACTATCTGTATTAGTAAGTACTACATTGAGTTACTGTTTTAGAGTCTACACTATCTGTATTAGTAAGTACTACATTGAGTTACTGTTTTAGAGTCTACACTATCTGTACTACTAAGTTCTATATTGAGTTACTGTTTTAGGGTCTATACTATCTGTACTAGTAAGTACTATATGTAGTTACTGTTTTAGAGTCTATACTATCTGTATTAGTAAGTACTACATTGAGTTACTGTTTTAGAGTCTACACTATCTGTACTACTAAGTTCTATATTGAGTTACTGTTTTAGAGTCTACACTATCTGTACTAGTAAGTACTATATGTAGTTACTGTTTTAGAGTCTATACTATCTGTATTAGTAAGTACTACATTGAGTTACTGTTTTAGAGTCTACACTATCTGTATTAGTAAGTACTACATTGAGTTACTGTTTTAGAGTCTACACTATCTGTATTAGTAAGTACTACATTGAGTTACTGTTTTAGAGTCTACACTATCTGTATTAGTAAGTACTACATTGAGTTACTGTTTTAGAGTCTACACTATCTGTATTAGTAAGTACTACATTGAGTTACTGTTTTAGAGTCTACACTATCTGTACAAGTAAGTTCTATATTGAGTTACTGTTTTAGGGTCTATACTATCTGTACTAATAAGTACTATATGTATTTACTGTTTTAGAGTCTACACTATCTGTACAAGTAAGTTCTACATTGAGTTACTGCTTTAGAGTCTATACTATCTGTACTAGTAAGTACTACATTGAGTTACTGTTTTAGAGTCTACACTATCTGTATTAGTAAGTACTATATTGAGTTACTGTTTTAGAGTCTACACTATCTGTACTAGTAAGTACTAGAGTCTACACTATCTGTATTAGTAAGTACTACATTGAGTTACTGTTTTAGAGTCTACACTATCTGTATTAGTAAGTACTATATGTAGTTACTGTTTTAGAGTCTACACTATCTGTACTAGTAAGTACTAGAGTCTACACTATCTGTATTAGTAAGTACTACATTGAGTTACTGTTTTAGAGTCTACACTATCTGTATTAGTAAGTACTACATTGAGTTACTGTTTTAGAGTCTACACTATCTGTATTAGTAAGTACTACATTGAGTTACTGTTTTAGGGTCTACACTATCTGTACTAGTAAGTACTATATTGAGTTACTGTTTTAGAGTCTACACTATCTGTACTAGTAAGTACTACATTGAGTTACTGTTTTAGAGTCTACACTATCTGTATTAGTAAGTACTACATTGAGTTACTGTTTTAGAGTCTACACTATCTGTATTAGTAAGTACTACATTGAGTTACTGTTTTAGAGTCTACACTATCTGTACTACTAAGTTCTATATGTAGTTACTGTTTTAGGGTCTATACTATCTGTACTAGTAAGTACTATATGTATTTACTGTTTTAGAGTCTACACTATCTGTACAAGTAAGTTCTACATTGAGTTACTGCTTTAGAGTCTATACTATCTGTACTAGTAAGTACTACATTGAGTTACTGTTTTAGAGTCTACACTATCTGTATTAGTAAGTACTATATTGAGTTACTGTTTTAGAGTCTACACTATCTGTACTAGTAAGTACTAGAGTCTACACTATCTGTATTAGTAAGTACTACATTGAGTTACTGTTTTAGAGTCTACACTATCTGTATTAGTAAGTACTATATGTAGTTACTGTTTTAGAGTCTACACTATCTGTACTAGTAAGTACTAGAGTCTACACTATCTGTATTAGTAAGTACTACATTGAGTTACTGTTTTTGAGTCTACACTATCTGTATTAGTAAGTACTACATTGAG